ATATGAATACAATTACAAAGGTTTACAATCTGCATATGAATACAACTACAATGGTTTACAATCTGTATATGAATACAACTACAAAGGTTTACAATCAACATATGAATACAACTACAAAGGTTTACAGTCTGCATATGAATACAACTACAAAGGTTTACAATCTGCATATGAATACAACTGCAAAGGTTTACATTCTGCATATGAATACAACTGCAAAGGTTTACAATCTGCATATGAATACAACTGCAAAGGTTTACAATCTGCATATGAATACAACTACAAAGGTTTACAGTCTGAATATGAATACAACTGCAAAGGTTTACAATCTCCATATTAATACAACTGCAAAGGTTTACAGTCTGCATATAAATGCAACTGCAAAGGTTTACAATCTGCATATGAATACAATTACAAAGGTTTACAATCTGCATATGAATACAACTACAAAGGTTTACAATCTGCATATGAATACAACTGCAAAGGTTTACAATATGCATATGAATACAACTGCAAAGGTTTACAATCTGCATATGAATACAACTGCAAAGGTTTACAATCGGCATATGAATTCAACTACAAGGGTTTACAATCGGCATATGAATACATGCAACTACAAAGGTTTACAATCTGCAAATGAATACAACTGCAAAGGTTCACAATCGGCATATGAATACAACTGCAAAGGTTTAGAATCTGCATATGAATACAACTGCAAAGGTTTACAATCGGCATATGAATACAACTACAAATGTTTACAATCTACATATGAATACAACTACAAAGGTTTACAATATGCATATGAATACAACTGCAAAGGTTTACAATCTGCATATGAATACAACTGCAAAGGTTTACAATCTGCATATGAATACAACTGCAAAGGTTTACAGTCTGCATATGAATACAACTACAAAGGTTTACAGTCTGCATATGAATACAACTGTAAAGGTTACAATCTACATATGAACACAACTACAAAGGTTTACAATCTGCATATGAATACAATTACAAAGGTTTACAATCTGCATACGAATACAACTACAATGGTTTACAATCTGCATATGAATACAACTGCAAAGGTTTGCAATCTGCATTTGAATACAACTACAAAAGTTTACAATCTACATATGAATACAACTACAAAGGTTTACAGTCTGCATATGAATACAACTGCAAAGGTTTACAATCTGCATATGAATACAACTGCAAAGGTTTACAGTCTACATATGAATACAACTACAAAGGTTTACAGTCTGCATACGAATACAACTGCAAAGGTTTACAATCTGCATATGAATACAACTGCAAAGGTTTACAATCTGCATATGAACACAACTACAAAGGTTTACAATCTGCATATGAATACAATTACAAAGGTTTACAATCTGCATACGAATACAACTACAATGGTTTACATTCTGCATATGAATACAACTGCAAAGGTTTACAATCTCCATATGAATACAACTACAAG